TGCATTTTTGAAATTCAAAACCTTTAATTGGAAACCCCTTTCAATAGAAACCGCGTAAACCTCTGATGCCAATTATTCAATCCAAACTCAGTTTCTACAAACAGCTCTTCTAGAATGTCCTCAATGCTTATAAAATCCAGTTTAAAGCAACATTATTTCTTTTTAGTTCAATAACTGTGTGTGAACATTGCATCCAGGAATAACTGGCCCCTAGAATTAGTAGTGAAATTATGACCTATACAAGAGTTAAAAGTCTCCACAGCATATTGTGGCAGGCAAATAACTTTATTCCATCTACTGTATTCCAATAATTCCATGTGTACTTAATACAAGAAAACTCTTTTGCATCTGGAATTACCATGTGTGAAAGACTCATCCAGTGAAAGTATGCAATTCCAACTCAGTAATACACTTCATGTACGAGACAACCACGTAGAACAGACTTACCTTTTAATAACCAAAATAGCAACTTGTTCTGGAATGCTTTATCTGTTCACTGTCGTTCTTTATCTAAGAGCACCCAGTCTTTGAATCCTTAATACTTACTTCTCATTCCTTTCCCTGACAAATATACAGAAAAGGTTCTGCCCTTCATAACAAAGGTAACTGAAATAAAAGACTAGGTCCCAGAAATGCTCTATATATCCTACCACCAGAAGAAAGAACCTGATTTTACATCATTAACTTTTACAAATAATCAAATTTAGCATCACAATCCTTGCAGTACGACACATTTTATTACTACTTAAGTCTGTAGAATTTCCCATACTTCGTAATACCTGAAAAAAGTATAAGGTTTTTTTATGCAGCAGAATACACGTTTCAAGCTACCCAAGAAATAGCTCAGCATCTCAAACTACTTCACAAGTCGAGATTAATGAAATTAATAACCAATTTGCTGCCCATTTTACAGAATTCAAATACCAGCATAAAGGTTCAGTGATTTATTCAACATTACAGGAGACAGAGCCTAAGCCTACTTGGTATTTAGTTTCATGCTTTAGCCAAAACTACCATCCACTCCTAATGTTGTAAACAAAGTATAGACACAGGAGCTAGAGTAGAGAACCAATTTTAAGGAAAGGAAAATATTCTTTCAGTGATTTCAGAATGAAGCTACACATCTTTATTTATTGGTAAGGTTTCTTAATTAACCCATTCAAAAGTGGATGAATTTCTCAGATTCTGTAATAATTTTAGATCTAATACACCCTCAGGATCTTTCTCCAAGTCCTGTCTTCCACATCGGCCTTCAACAAGTGTCCTAACATCCACTGGGACTACTTTATTTATGGAATCATATGCTCACTAAGCACAGAAGGGAGATCTGGAGGTCATCTAAATCCTACTCCGTATTCACTTAAGTAAAACACAAATAGAAGCGTCAGCAAGTTCAGAGCCAGGGACTGTACAGTGCTTGTGGATGGGTATCCTTCACTTACAACTTCTATGATCCAAAATAGTTCAACAGGTAAACACCATACTCAACACTGAAGCAGGCAAAGAAATACTTTCTTTTTCAACACTAAAACTTGAAAATGTTTCCAGCATACTTTATTTTGATGCTTACCAGACAAAGAATAATAATATTATTAGAGTTTTGAAAGTAACTACAGGGTCAGATTGTTTCAGATTCTTTCTTCGCCACTATTTACATTCCTGAATACATTTTAGTGAGAGAAACGGGGCATAACTAAAAGAAAGACTTGCTCCTTTAACTGATTTTTAGTATGAAAAAGCACTATATAGTTCATAAGAAATTTCCAAACAACTGATAAATACAGATGTCATTTATATTTTACACTAAACTACAGTCACAGCACTTCTTGTAAAACCTCTTCAAATGCTCAGAGAGAGAGAGAGAAGCACAAAATCCACGACAATAAAACACGATGTGGAAAACTGAAACACTGTAGGGTGTAAGATTCAGTCATGCTGCACGACAAAAAAGAGGAAGAACATATGGAGGCACGGGTACTAGTGATCATAATCCCTTTGTATGGAAATAGCTGAAGCATGGAAGAGCCATTTGCTGTATCCCTTCCATTCCTGC